GGGGGATTGGATTACTTTTACCCAGAATGCAGATGGAAAAAAAATGTGAGCGAAACGGTGACTGGTACTGACTAGTATATATTCCATTGAGGGAAACTAAATTTCATATCTGCTCAAGAGCCCCCCTGGTGGTTGAAGAAAAATCCACATATATATGAAAAAATACACTGAATGCTCTCTGGTATTGTTCAGGGGGCCAGACCAAATGAGGAGGCAGGCCAGATCCAGCCCACAGGCCATAGTTTGGGGACCCCTGGTCTACAGGATTATATGGCTGTCAAAAAGAGGTTGGGGCAGATTTTTTTTTTTTTTTATTTTTTTTTTTTTATTTTATTTTATAATAAATTAACAAAGAACTTAATGTATTTTAATGGGCGCCTACACAATTACAGATGCCACTGCTTTGACTTTTAACTTCAAGAACAGTGTGAGAAGCTGGGCAATGAAGGAGGATTTCCCTTATACTGACTTCCTGTTCATTTGAAATTAATTTTAAACTTTATTTGTTTTTAAATGTCTACAGCCTAGCATATCTTTATTTTTAACTGAGCCTTTAATGTTTGTGGGCCTGGCAGACCTTTGAGGTCATCCTGTTTGCTTGTACCTGTGTAAGGGGTGTGAATACTCTTGAGACACACTGTACACCAAAAGTGATAAAAGTACAATTTTAAATTAATATAACTGTTGACTCACTTTCTAGCCTGTCCCTGATCTACTAGTTTTGCATTGGGAAAAAAAATAACTTCCTGGTTGAGAACAAGAGGATTTTATATCAATATTTGCATCTGCGTAGGTTTGATATTTCCAGTTGCTCCAACAACAAGTCAAATAAACCTTTCTCAAACTAGACTAAACACACCTAGACTGCCTTTGAGTTGACAAAGGTTGATTTACCAAAGCTGGATTATAATCTGTCACTTTTGGGCTTACAGTCCTGACACGCAGTAAAGGAAACAAAATTCAGAAAAGGTAAGAGTTTATTTTATAATATCGTTAATAATTCTGAACTAGAACAGTCAGTATGGTTATGGTGAACTGGTTTAGGAGTTAGAGATGACTCCAGGTAAACATTAACTTATAATCCTGGATATTGATGTTCTGTGTACATAACAGATCTTTTATCTTTAAAACAACCTGCGATTTGGTTAATGATGTTATTTAAAACCTCATTTATTTCAGCCTCAAATCTACTGTCGTCTGCATGTAAGTGTGAGGTCAGTGCTGTAGGTCAGTAGTTTGATGGTCTGATGGACTTTTATCTGGTTTTAATAGATAAAAGTCTATTAAAACTTTTGATAGAACTTTTTCATGATACTGGGACTTTAACTTTGTAGTGAATAAAATGTAATATTTTCTAATTTGTTTTATTTGAATTTTTCTAGTACATTTTGTATCTTTACAGATAATTGCATTGATTAAAACTCTTATTAATCTCAAACAATATAAAATCTAGATAGGTGCCCTTCAGGGACAATTTCTTCAGATAAAAGATTTTACATTTTATCTGAAAAAAGCTGTATCATCGTCCGTCTGTCGGTGTGTTCCTTCCCTCTGCCACCATTTTCCACTAAGTTCACTTCCTGTTTAGTCATAACCCTTCATAATCTCCTGTCCACTCAAAGCCCCACTGCTGCCTCCACCCTCACATGTTACTAATGTAAACTTCCCCCAGTCAACCAGGAAACAAGCCAAGAATAAAAACTGTTTTTCATTAAAATGTATTTTTAATTGAATACCAAAATGATATCCTTATTATGTGAAAATGTAGATGTATATTTATTTATCATCTTAACTTCTCCTAGCAGTGGTTCCCAAAGACTTTCTGGGACCCCTATGGATTACAATAAAATCCCCCTTAAAACAGAAAAAAAAGAATCACCTGGGCACACATCGTTCAACCAGACATAAACCTAAACTCATATTTTGTTTTCAAACTCCACTGAAGTTTATTTCACACTTTAGGTTGCAACAAAACAAACTACAAACCATCTTTACAGTGAAACACTTTTGTGTAACTGATTTTCTTTTTCTCAGTTCTATACTGTAGAAGTTTTCTTTGCTGTCAGTGTTATTTCAGACATATTTCTTTTTTATTTGTGATTATATTCAATTATGCTATCATAAATAGCCTACATACAACAAAAGTCTATGAAACATGGGGTTAAAACATGAACAGCTACCTGAGAGGTTTTTTATTTATTTATTTATTTATTTATTTTTTTATTTATTTATTTTTCATTCATTGCGCCCCCCTACAATGGCACTGCACCCTCCCAAGGGGGCGCACCACACACTTTGGGAACCACTGCCCTATAGTATTTCATAATCTGTTTTTATGGCAAAAAAAGGATTCCTCCAGGTTTGAATATTTTAATGAAACATATTCAAATCGCTTCTCTTCAGACATGTGTGTCTGAAACACAACATTTAATACTGATTCAACAAAAAAGATGAATGATGTTCATCCCTTCTATTAACATCACTTGTGAAAAATTATCTAATGTTATTTCTCTGTCCAGTGGAGGAAGAGCTGCAGCTTTTCACTGTTTAAATGTTCTTCATCCAACAGAGACAAACTGCTGGAGGAAAATAATTCATCTGACAGCAAAGATGCAGTGGAGTCTGATTCTGCTCTTCCTGATGGGTAAGTTGATCTGAAACACAACTAGACTCTCTGGTTTCTGTCACATTACAGTCAGTAGGATGTTGAGGAGGCCTGGTGGATTTTTATCACACAAAAATTAGAATGAGAATACTTATTTTGTTTTTTTGTAAAGACAAAGTGTTTTATTGTAGCAGTCGGGATTTAGTACTAAATGTCATGTTTCAGCTCACTGTTGTTTCATGGACTGTCAGCTCTATCAGTTTCACTACATTAATGAGAATAAGACCTGGACTGAAGCTCAGCAGTACTGCAGAGAGAAACACACTGACCTGGTCACAGTGACTAACATGAAGGACATGAAGAGACTCATCAACATCTCAGCTGGAAAAATGAAGGAGGCTTGGATTGGTCTGTATGATGAAACACATGGTAACAGAACTTGGTACTGGTCTCTCCCTGGAGTGGAGTTTGATGAAAGTGAGACAAACTGGAAAACAGGAGAACCAAATGATGGAGTAGGAAGTAAAGTAATATATCAGAACTGTGTGATTGTGGATAATAATCTCAAATGGATAGACACCAGCTGCCGAAATCAACATAATTTCCTTTGCTCTGATGGTGAGAATGTTCATCTTTTTATCAGTTATTTTTATCTATTTTGTACAAACAAGGTAAACATAAATATGTTTGATTACTCCACAGAAACTAATACAAAACATAAATACCAGTTGATTGAAGAGAAAAAGTCCTGGCAGGAAGCTCAGAGTTACTGCAGAGAAAAACACACAGACCTGATCAGTGGAATGAAGCAGCTACAGGATGAAGAAGTGAAGAAATTGATGAACTCTACAAGTGATTCCTCATACATTGGTCTGTTCAGAGACACCTGGAGGTGGTCAGATGGAAGCAGTTTCTCTTTCAGACACTGGGATAAAGATTTTAACAATCCAGAAACCAACAGTGGTCAATGTGCCATGACTATGTTTGATGATGAAGGCAGATGGACGAATGTGAACTGTACTGAAAGAAAACCCTTCATCTGTTATGATGGTGAGTTTTTAGTTCAAATATAAGTTTATTTAAAAATTATTACAGTGAATAGTTTTCTAATTCATGTTTTAAGTTTTAATTCTTGCATGTCACAGATAATGTCATTGCATCAAACAAAAGCCTCAACATTTGATCAGTATCAGAGGCACATAGTACATTCACATTTACTTTAATTAGTTTTTTGGGGAGAAAAGGACCTTTAGTAGTAGTTTTAAACCCTAATATATTGTAATTTTACTTGAGCTATATTATTATAAAATAATATTATTCTCTATAGAGTAACATTTGTTGATATTCATTGAATAAAGGCCAAACATATTTTAAAAACTCTCTGGACCCAGAAACAAACCTGCAGTTCCTGTTCCAACACAAACTCTATTGTTCTCATGTTATTCTCCACCTGCTGAGCCATTTGGAGGTCAAGTTAAAATACAGTGAATCCTGGAAGTACTTTACCTATTTGTAACATATTGTTTATGTATTTCCTACTGTTCAAGTATTAGTTTATATGTCGAGGAAAATTGATTTAGAAATGTGTTGTTTCTAATTTATTTTATACATTTGGATTATTTCAATTATTTTTGTCTTCAAAATATGACAATTTGC